AGGAATGACCACTGAACATCAAATCACCGCAAAGAAATTGTTTTTTATTTGGGTCTACTACTTTTGAAAAGTGGTTAAAAGTTGCTTTGACTAAACCCGGTAATGAACCATCAGTCTAAAATGAGAACAGTGAGAGAGAAAGAAAAATTATACCAATCCAAAAATCGTTTAAACCCCACCCCCACCCAAAATGTGTTGTGTGATTATTGTTAAAGACGACGACATGTGAAAGATGCAATCATTTATATATGCTGTTTGTAGTAAGCTAATTTAAGCCAAAAAATATGCGACAACTTATGTAGAAATATAAGGAAAATAAGACTGAATTGTCAATGACAGGCGGGTTCAAATATTTGTACTCAAAATCATATTTTGAGGTTTGTTGATGTTTTGGAATTATGTAACAAATCTGAATGCATGAACTTTCATCAATGGTTAACAAGGTCAAATTATTAATCATAACAACTTGAAGACAAATTAATTAGTCAAAATTCAAATGGCCCCCAAAGGAAGCGAGATTGTCACAAAATGTAAAAAAATTATTTTCATATCATTAGATTATTGGAAAGTGCCAATAAGAAAGTCTTAGGGAGTTCGCTAACTCCCTGTATGAATCTTGTTTGTGCCCATTGTAAAATGGTTGCCAGGCAGCCATCTTGGATTGTATCCCAAAACAAATGCATATGATTATGTGTTTGTGAAGTTTGAATGTGATTCGTCAAGGCATATAAGATACAAGCATTTATTCAAAGGAAATGGCCATGAACATGTGCGAACGAATGGACACATAGATGATGAAAAGTGAAAATATAATCCGCTGTTTTCATATTAAAACCCAAATAAGCCTATCATATCAGAAAGCTACAAAAATTGTCCAAAATCTAATAAGGAAACTATTTTGTACCGGTGGTAGACAGTCCACGATCGGCTCAGTCAACGGCAGTGGAGTTACCAGTATTGCAATACTTCTCATCATATACAGAGTGCATATTATACAAGAAAAATGACGAAGAATTATAAACCTGTAAAAATAAGAGGAAACATGTTTCAAGAGGTGATTTCGATGAAGATACTGAAAGAGTTTACTCATGACGCAATATGTTATGACATATTAATGATATTACCCCCCCTGGTATACAAAAAATTGCATATAAAAGCATTTTTGCATGTATGCATGGTACTACTGTAAATGCATTATTCATAGGGTTTAAATGTTGCTATTTTCACTAGTAAGGCAAAGTCACAAAATTGAATTAATATTTACACGTGAAAATACTACAGAACAGATTATTTTTACTGGCAAATGTGTGAAATTAAAACCCAGTGAATATGTTCAAAATAGTAAATCTAAATAGTAAACAAACCATGCATGGCACAGTCTCGTTAGTTATCAAATTTAAGATATAGAGTTTTGTTTATAGTAATATACAGAAGCTGATGCTTGATTATGATGTTTTTTTAACATTAAAATGATTGAAATTCTGTCATCTTGTGTCTGATCTGGAACAGCATTAATTAAAACAAAACAAAATGGACACCAGTCGCCATTTTGAATTAGACCGTCAAAACAATAGATCTGTATATCTATAACATGATGTATAATGAATATATAAAATTTGAACATAATCAGTCAAAGCATATTAGAGATATGGCACTAGAAGCCCATTCATTAAAACAAATAGCCATCAGTCGAATATTTTAAATCCAATCTGAGAAATTAAATGATGTGCATCAAGGTATGGGACCTTGTATGTCGAATGTATGTACCAAGTTTGAACAAAATCTATCTGTAAACAGACGTGATCCCGTTCAGGAATTCCAGAAATGCTTGATTTTGATCATCTTTCAGCACAAAAATAGCCACCGTTCGGCCATCTTGAATCAGACTGTGATACAAATTGATATAACATGTTTTATCTGTTTTTTGGCATTCTACCATTGTTTCCTATGACTAAAATATATATCAATATCTCAAAATTTTGCTCAGTAACATATGGTGAAAATAAGATAATTATATAGTTTTGATGAGATATTGAAAAATTTACAATCTTTTAATTGTTTTTTTAAGGAGAAAATGTGTTTTCATTATGTTCTATGGATAACGCTACTAAAATGGCATTTTATGCAAATTATTTTACTGTATCTGTTACTGTAGTGGCCGTGAAAGAAAAATTTTTCCATACTGTTGACTGAAAGTGAAACAAATAATTGACAGATATTGACATGAAATAATGTTACTGCTCTATGCACTAAATTGTGTATACAAGTGAATAATTCACAAGTTGCATTCTACCCTAGCATCACCAATACTCACAATAGTAATGCTATTGTAACAGAGTGTCAAAATTAATAAATCACAGCATTTTTTTTTATTTGAAAAGACATACGGGCACAAGTTGCATTTACAGGCTCCTCACTCACACATACATCAAAATACAATAAATAACAAATACGACAAGTCATTGTCAATGACACGTCCCTGTTCCATTCATATTTGAGTGACATATACATTCAAAGCAGATCATGACCGAAATGCACCTGCATATGTACAACACATTGTGCTAAATCTGAACAAAATCCATCCATGCATGACTGAGATCCGGTTCTCGAATTGTGAAAATACGTGATTTTGATGTATTTTCGGCCTTAAAATGGCCATCATTCCGCTATTGTTAAGCAGATCATGAAACAAATGCACATATCTATTTGTGACATGATGTATATCATGTGTGTGTGAAGTTTGAACTTGATCAATCCAGACATGTCTTGGATACGGATCCAGAACTGAATTCTTTAACAAAA